GTTATTTAAGTTCAGCCAATCAGATGCACTTGTGAAAGGCTTGAAAAGCAAAAGTGAGGTGGAAGATACAATTCTACTGTTTCTCTAGCAACATTATGACAAAGGCTCTGTTTTTTCTGCAGCAGCAGCAGCAGAGAGGTCCGAGTATCTAGTCACTAGCTTGGTGATGATAAGCAGCATGGCTGGGCACCCACTTTGCGAGTGCACATTACAGCAGGTGTCGTCTCGTTCTTGGCAGAGTGCCGACGCAGTGGCGGAGTGTCCCATTTTGGTGCTTTCTGTCACAGCAGTAAGGCAGACATTCCACGCGTGATGAAGTTCTGTGGAGTCATTCCTAAAAGCACAACCTACAGGGTTTCTTCAGGACTCTCAAAGACTCTGCTAGCCAGTTAACCTTATAATAAGTTCCTTCCTGCTTAAACTATCTAGAGTAAATTCTAGTGGGATTTTGTTTGGGTTTTTTAATATTTTAGATTTGCTTATTAAAAGGGTTATCATAAATTGTCCTTTACTCTGTATAGAACACGAGAGCAAGGTGAGCGAAGTTTAGCCCTTTGTAGGACAATTCTTCATGCTTGAAGTACTTGGAGGACCTGACCTTTTTTCCTGAACTTTTATAGAGGGGTCCTCTGCAGTTGAAAATCATGCCTCTCTCAACATATTTGATGTCGATTTCCCATTTTTGTCAAAATTTCCACATATTTCAAGAAAAATTAAATTGAATGTCCCTAAGAATTTCACAGTTTTCTTTGTTGGTATTACTTTTCACATACAGTTTTTAAAGTCTCCCTTCAGTTGGCAAAGTAGGCAAAAATGTACAAGGGGACACTAAAATACACAAAAATATTTTGATTAAGATCACAGAACAGGTTTAGTTTCCAGTCACCTACTCTATGACTCTGAGATCTACCATAACCATATTAGGTCCTAAGACTGTATCCATCTTATGGGTTAAAATACAGGGAAGTAGCCAGCCTCAAGGGCTTAGGAGTCATTTTCATGGACAACAATAAGGCCTTCTTATTTTGGAATCCCGTGAACAAAGGAACTCTAAAACTGGACCCTGACTTATCAGGATTGGGAAGGATGTCCTAAACAAGGCACACAAAGCTCAAATGATTAAGGAAAAGAGTGATCATCACTTTGACTACAGAAAAATTAAGAAAGTCTGTACATTAGAACACGCCATCAAGGCAGTGAAAAGACAAACCACAAAGTAGGAGATATTTGTAACATTTATAACCAAGTAGGCATTAGTATCTATAATACAAATAGGACCCCCACAAATTACTAAGAATAGGCGAACAACCCAACAAGAAATAGGCAAAGCATTTAGTAATAGTCATTTCACACAAAAAGAAGGAAATAGCCAAACAATAATTATATATATAATTATAAATGGTTAAATGTCACATAGAGGTCTTTAAGATACTAGTAATGTTCTATTTTTTAACCTAGGTGTGGATATGACCTACATAACAAAATATTAAGAAAAAAGAAAATGTTCACATATTACATTTTTTTTAATTTTTAAATTTTATTTTTGTTTAAAATATTAAAATTTTCTCCCCAATGACCCTTTCCGCCCCGTCCCATCCCCCTCCCCAGTCCCTCTCCCCACCATTGTCCGTGTCCTTGGGTTGTGCATATATGCATATAAATTCTTTGGTTACTCTCTCCCCCACCACCCACCCGCCCTCCTCCATCCCTGATATTTGTCAGTCTGATCTATGCTCCCATGTCATTGAATCTATTCTGTTCATCAGTTTATTAAGTTCTTTAGATTCCACGTATAAGTGAGATCATGTGATGTTTGTCCTTCACTGCCTGGCTTATTTCCCTTAGCATAATACTCTCCAGGTCCATCCATACTGTCCCAAAGGGTACGAGATCCTTCTTTACAGCTGCGTAGTATTCCATGGTGTGAATGTCCCACAGCTTTTTTATCCACTCATCTACTGAGGGCACTTGGGCTGTTTCCAGATCTTAGCTATTGTAAACTGTGCTGCTATGAACATCGGGATACATATATTCTTTCTGATTAATGTTTCAGGATTCTTAGGATACATTCCTAGGAGTGGAATCACTGGGTCAAAAGGCGGCTCTATTTTTAATTTTTTGAGGAACCTCCATACTGTTTTCCGTAGTGGCTGCACCAGTCTGCATTCCCACCAGCAGTGTACTAGTGTCCCCCTTTCTCCACACCCTCACCAGCGCATATTACATCTTAAAAGCAGACTTACATGAATTTATTGTAACATGTATTATTAAATAAAGCAACCATATAAAAAAGAATGGAAGTATAGACTGTCCTGAATTGGTGACTGTTGAAGTCAGGTAGTGGGTCCTAAGTACATAGAGTTCTTTTCGTTTTCTCTTCTTCTGTTTGAAACTTTTCATAATAAAACCTGTTTAAAAAGTCAGCATTTTTCATTCTAAATGAACAGTTATCTCAAGAATAAGAAGCAACCTAGATTTCCAGATTTCCCACTTTAAAATGTAGAAAGCTGACTTGCCAGTGAGAGACTCAGAGCCTGAGAGTGATGACGGGGGAGCCCCTCTGTTTTGAAATGGGTGGGGCCACAGAGCAGGAATGTGGGCCTTCCCTAAGAACTTGGAGCTGTGTCCAGCTGAGAGCCAGCAAGGTAATGAAACCTGTCTTACAGACGCAAGGAACTGAATTATGCCAGCAACCTAAGTGGTCTTGGAAGCAGATTCTTTTCTCCTGGCTCCAGAAAAGAACTCAGTATAGCTGGCACTTAGATCTCAACCTTAGAAGACCCTGAGAAAGGAATCAGCTATGCCATGCCTGGGCTTCTTACCTACAGACTAAGAGATAAGTGTGTGTTGTTTTAACCACTAAATAATAATAATAATGTAGAAAGCTAAAAAGAGTATTGCTTCCACCCTTACAATAATAATGAACACCAATCTGCAAATTCACCCCAGTTCTTGAAACCAGAGGTTACAGGGCCAACTAACCCAAAGTCTGAGAGAAGGAACATGAGCACTTGTTTACCTAAAACATGCTAAATGACAATGGTAAGGAGAACTTGGCTAAAATTAACTAATGGGTAAAAGTTGAGTGTGGGCTAATAGAAGACTATTAAAACTCTGGGGGCCACAGACAAAAAGAATTCACCCTCACTCACAGGCTCTTCTCCAAGGACAGGAAATTCACACACACACAAAACTGGAGACATGGGAATCTGAGAAAGTTTCCTTTGAGGTCCCTTGGAGGCCAGCATCAGCTGCAAGAAACTTACTAAACCCCCACCTGATCCCTTCTCCCCTTTCACATGGATTAAAACATTTTGCCAGGTATCTTCTATTATACTTGTTCTAATTTCTTTTAACTCTTCCTTCTTTCGAATCAAGGTATTTTAATGAGGTAATTTTATCTCTACTATTGGCTTATTATTTATACCTTTAAAAAATTTTATAATATGTATAAAATTTAATAATATGTATATTTAATCAGAGCCTATGTTCAAATAATAGATACTACTTTACTCCCAGTTTATGGCGTCTTTTCATTTCTCAGTGGTGTCTTTGGAAGAGCAGAAATTTTTAATTTTGATGAAGTCCAGTATATTAAGTCTTTCTTTTATGGATTATGCTTTTGTTGTAGTATCTAAAAAATCTTTGCCTAATCCAAAATTCTAAAGATTTTCTTCTATGTTTTTTTAGAAGTGTTATTTAGTTCTTATATCATTTAAGTGTATGGTCCATATTGAATTAATTTTAATGTATGAGTTGCTGGTCTGATTCCTGGTCAGGGCACATACCTATGTTGCTGGTTGGATCCCTAGTCAGGGCGTGAATGGGAGGCAACTGGTCGATGTTTCTCTGTCTCTCCCTTCCTCTATCTAAAAATCAATGAAAAAATATATCCTTAGGTGAGGATTAAGTATATACATACCTGTCATAAAAATTGTGCAAAAACAGGTAACTTGGCATTTTTATTTTAATAATAATACACATTACAAAATTAGTTCAGGAAAGCTATAATAAATAACATTGTAATCCAAAGAGAGTACCCAAAGTTTATGTGGGATTTAGACTAAGAAGACTATAAAATGCCCCTTATATGGTATAAATTTATAATCTTAAAAAAAAGTATAGTGTTCCTTAAAAGCCAAACAGATGCCAGACTGCCTGGGTTTGAATTCCAACTCTACCACTTACAACTCTAGGAGCTTGGGCAAGGTATTACCCTTTCTGTCTCCATTGCCTCTTCTGTGAACTGGGGATAATAACCTTTGCAGTGTTTTTGTAAGGATTAACTGAGTTAAAAATGCTTGGTACCTAAAAAGAAAATATGAAAGTACTATTATTCTATAAATTTTCAAGAAATGATTTTTACATCTGACTCTTTATAACATCCCTGGTTTTATGTAAAATATTAGAAAATTTGAAAGGGACATATAATCCTTAGTGCTTACATATAAACTCTTGTTGAGACTTCTGTGAAAACTATCCTCCCTTCCCCATAAAAGGAATAAAACAGCATTATTAAAATATTCTTGTCTCAAAATAAAAAGTTTCAAAAACTAAAGTCCTTGAAACTATCCCTTTATCAAATACAAATTATAGCTGCTCTGGTGAAATGTTTTTAAATTCAATTAACTTTTAAAAAATTTTTTCCTTTTTATTGAATTTATTGGGGTGACACTGGTTAACAAAATGATACAGGTTTCAGGTGCACAATCCTACAACACATCATCTGTATACTGTATTGTGTGTTCACCATCCAAAGTCTATTATGCTTAGATATGAAGAATGGAATCTGTTCCAGGATTTAATCACCTTGTAATCATTCACATTTGCCAAGCACATACCTATTAAGAACATTTTCCTGTGACCAGGTTTACCATGTATCTAGCAAAATAACCTTGGGAGTAGGGACACACATTACTTGCCTGAGAAAAGACACAGTTTACTCCATGTATAAACCTCAGAGAGTAGCTTTCAGAAAGATCAAGTAAGAACACCAGCCATCCAGTTGTTTAAGGTTTATTTTTATATGCATACAAGTTTCAAGACAACAAAAATTTCAAGATATACGGTATAACATATCAAATGAAGTCATTCAGAATTATTTCAATGTGTACATAAACAACAGTATAAAGTACATGTATAAGATAAATTATACAATTTGTTTTGAGGTTTCAAAAAGCAGTGTTTTGGTTTTAAAATTCTGATACCATTATCATATCATTCAAGTAACACATATTTCAAAAGTTAAATTTTTTTAACAATAACTAAATTAACACATAACTCTAAGACAATCTGATAGATGAGCTGCCTTTACCACCATCTTCGAAATAGTGCTGTTCAATTCTTCTACAAAAAGCAAGAAGGTTGCTATAGTTTTTCACCTTCTCAGAAAGTTCATCATTGGTCAACTGTGTGGTGAGAATGGTGTACAGATGGCCAAATACCAGTGCATCTAGTTCAGTAGGCCTAAAACAAAAGTAGAAATGAGAGTAACTTAAATAGTGTTTAACTTGTATGGTAGGATATATACTATTTTAAAAACATTTTATTCATCTACTTAAAAGAAAAAAGTCACAGAAAGAAAGAAATCCTACCCCAACTTGATAGAATTTATTGTTTTAAGAGTTCATTATAAGATCTGAAAATAAATATTTTAAACTATGATTTGCTAAATGTGTGACTTGTTTTTTGAAGTAGTATTATTAAAAGGTGTTAAAATAATATACGTGTGACTGATCATATTCATTTTATTAATTAATTTGTTCACTACATAAATATAGCAGGTCTCCAATGTGCCAGAACTGTGCCAGATGTTACAGATATAAAAACAAGAAAGATATTCTAAGGCATGGACACAAAACGCAAATTACCACAATACAATTTAGTAAGGGCTTTTTAATAGATGCATGAACAGAATGCTGTCAAAGCACAGAGGACTTCACTGTGGTGCCAGGACAACAATATGATACCTGTTTACCCAATCATATATTAACATTATGACTTCATTTTAATTTGACCACTGTTAAAGTAACTTAGCTTCTAAAAGAGACATAATCATGAAGATGGCTTCAACAAAAATTTTTCTAGGGGTTTTTCCCCCCTTTAATTTATATAACAAAAAAATGAAATTTATCTACCTCACTACTAATGGTCTATAAATGGGGCATCACCAATCTACATTATATTAAAATAATTACCAGCACAATATTATAAAAAGGAGAAAATACAGCTAAATCTTTTCACAATATTTCTTGAAAAAACAATTCCTCTATGATAAGTTTGTAACCTAACAATATAGAAAAGAAACTAACTTTAAAAAATTAAAAATTTCTTACTGCTTATTGAAGAAATATGGTTGTGTTCCCAGCCTTTGAGAAAGAGCTTGACAGCACTGGTCAACATCTTCTAAGACCTAATACAGGCAATAGACCCCAAAGAAAAATATTAGCAAAACCATAAAATGTGTCTAAAACAATTTATATTACAGTTTATAACAAAAATATAAATTTAGGTAATCTTGTAATACATTTAAATTGGATATAGGTCACATATAAAATATAAATAATACTTTCTATATGAGAAATACAAAGAAAATTTGAGAGCTTATTTCCTTTAAATACAACTACAATTAAGTTACTTATAAGGATTACTAACAAGAAAGTTTTTACTTCCAAACTCCACTCCCTACAAAAACTGTTTTCCTGAATCTATATATTGAAATGGTTTTTTATATATTTAAAAATCTGCTTCATAAAAATGGCACTGCTGACCCACCATGAGCCAAAGCATTTCAGCGGTTCTTCCACTAGTGGAGATGGGTTTCATTTGCTCCACCCCTGCCCATCCACCCAGTCCAGTCCCACACATGGCCAGCGGCACGCGGAAGTGAGCTGGCTGGCCAGGACTAGGGGCAGCCTTGGAAAAGAGACGTTAATTAGTGTAATGACGTTCAAACTCATGACCTTGACAAAATTTATATTTTTTAATCTTGCTACTGCAATAAATTTAAAACCAAAATTTAAAAAGAGACATATTAAGCACTGTATTTAACAGATTTTCTTTTTTTAAGCCCTGATGTTGCAGATCAATATTTATCGGCATCAAAGATGCCCACAATGTATTGTTGAATGGAAAAAACATCAGGTTATAGAATGGTAGGTATAATATGATCCAATTTAAGGAAAATGTTATCAAGACACATCTAGAAAAATGTTCTCCAAATAGTTAACAGGGGCATTTCAAGCCACTTTTATTTCCTTTTTGAACTTTTCTACATTATATAATTTGTTTTACAATAAGCATGTGATTTTTATAAAACTACTTCATGTCAAAGAAAATAAGAATAAATGTTTTGTTAGTTTTTTTATTATGCTGGAATTTTTTAAAGGGCTATCAATATAAAAAAATGAATATTTTAATACTTTAGAGGTTTATCTTAAGTGAATTAGGGTTTTGTGAACTTTAATATGAACTTACCTGGTCCAGAGTCTTGTTACCCCATCCAATAGCTTTCATCTTACGTTTGACTTCCCACTGTTTCTGATAGGCCAAAATACGATTCAGGGGCCAAGGGTAAGGAGACCCATACCTAGCAAGTGTGATCTAAAGCAAAAGATTTTGTTAAAAACATGATTCTTTCTAAAAACAAAGCCTCTTTTTACAAATAGAATTCTAAGGGAAATATACTGTCGGAGAACACAAACAGAGCAATCTGAAAAAAATACAGAGCATGCAATCTTAAAAATTAAAATTTTAAAACATTCCCTTTAAAATATATATAAACTTTTATGTACTTTGCAACCAGTTATATCAAACAATGACACATAGCTTCCCTAAAATGTATGTGCAAGCAAAATTAAAGTAAGTGAAAAACTGTATCACTAATGGTATAAACCACAATGTTTCATTCATGAGCAGGGACTTACAATTCTGAGCAAAAGTGTTTTCTCATTAAATTTTAATTAAGATAAATGCTGCAGAACCACTCACCTCCCCTACTGTAGCTTCATCACACCACTGAAGATACAACTAGGAACAAAAGAAACAATCACTAAAACTTTAGAATACCAAAGAGAAAATGGATAAAAATAAAGTTATTTCTTGCCATGGTAATTTTTTATAAGCCAACTTTATAAAAGTCACATGTGAGAGGTTTTCTCCTTCACTAATGTTGCTATATATAATTATTAAATTTAATGGTGGTACTTAATAAAAATATTTCTTATTCATTTAGCACATCTCTAAATACCATTAAAGAATTTTATAGATATTATTTAAGTACACTTTACAAGGCCAAAGTAAAATAATAAGTGAGCAAGAATCACTCCTTTTTACAAACAGAAAAATTAGAACTGAAAACGTCAGGCAGTTTGTTCGAAGATAACGATCAAACAATCTGAGTCAGCATCCTCACCCTACGATTGCCTGACTGTTTTCCAGTTTCTCAGTAACTTTAAAATAACCATAAGAAAAGAGTATCTTTTATGAGAGAAAAAGCTCATTTTTAAGACCTATTATTTTCTATTATACCTCTGCAGTCAACAGCATATTGTTGACTAATTCCATGTAGGCTTTCATTTCTGCTTTCTGGACTTCATCCAACCCATCACTAAGAGAATGGCCCTAAAGGGAATTTAAAAAAATTTAAGAGCATCATATTAAATATACAAAAACTTTCAGTTATGTTACTACCAAGTAACATAACATCAATCTTTTTACAGCAAATGTCCAATGGATTAATTTCCAATATGCTTCTGAAAAAACTTATTTTATATTAAAAAATAGGTAATATTCTATTGCTACAAAATATTAATAAGTAGTATTTGTCATTATAAAAACGATTCTTTCAATGGATAAAATTACATTATCAACTATTTCGCAAAAGAAGAAAACAGGAATGGTCAGTAAACCTTATTATAAAATAAATGCTAAAAGATTGACATGCATTGCTTATAAAGTGGTCAAAGATTTAAATAAAGGTATAGGGAAATAGATACTAATTTTTAAATTCTAATACACTATAGTAATGAGTGAATGCATAAAATTATATAACCTTTAGTTCAATCTGGCAATCTGTTTTAAGATCTTAAAAATGCATATCCTATAACATTGCAATATCACTCTTAGGAATGTATCCTAAGGAAATAGTATGACAAATGTACAAAGGTGTAAGTACAAGAATATTTATCTTAGTACTCAATAACAGCAAAAAATTGGCAACAAGTTAAGTGTCCATCAGTAAAGACTTAAAAATTATAAATATCCATATAATAGAATATTATAAATTTAAAAGGGTAATATATATACACATACACACACACACACACACACACACACATAGTCATTAACATGGAAGAATTTCCAAAGCTATTGATGATTTGCAAAATAACTAATAATACTATGAACTATGTTTTTCTATATATACAAAGAGAAAAGTCTGGAGGGATTTTTGCCAAAATGTTAATGGAGGTTGTCCTTTAATAACTATTAAAATCTAAGCTAAATAATTCGAATGGATAAATTAATACATTCAACTTCTAAACAGATCCTAATCTCCCTTCTCAAAGGTTAACTTGACATTTTTAACAACCTAACAGTTTTCATTTACGACCAAAATTCTCATAAGCGTAAGTTAGAATATTGTCTATTTTGTAAAGATCAAATTACCTTGTTTGCCATTGATTTGCATGATTAAAAAAAAGCCTTACACTTTAGAAATATTTCTCCAGTAGTTTATATTGGCATTTTATAAAACTAGGTTAAAAACAATGTAAATGTTAAGACATGCTAAAAAATGATGAATGACTTAAGAGTGGCTGTGATCAAATGCATTTAATATCTTTTTTTATTACCTTGGCTTTAACGAATTGGACTATTGGACCAAGTTCTGATACTACTTGATTTCCTACATGAATAAAAGGTACTTTACCTGTTGAGGGAAAAAAAATGTATGAAAACACTTTTGGTATGTTAAAATTTATGCTAATAAACAGAAAAGTAACACAAAAGTGGGATATATTTTATTAATACAGAATTTCATAAAACTATAACTTTTGAAAATTAGTTAAATTCTATGAAATTTTAAACTGATTTGCTAATTTTAAAACAAAAGACAAAAGAACTATTCAAATTATCCATTTCTAGAGTTCTCACATATATAATAACAGATCACAATATTCCCTTTTCAGAGGTAACACTAATAAATCACTCTATAGTTGTAAATATTAATTATTCAAATTACATGAATCAAGCCCAGATACCAGTTCATGATCACTGACAGATTTCAAAGAAATTCAACTGGGCCTTCTCTTCAGGTTACAATGAATTAATCCATATTTTAAACTACAGTTAAGAAGTCTTCCTTTTGTATCTTCTATTTTCAAGTCTCAGATACTCATTAAGGTCAATTATTTTAATTACATAATGGTATATTAATAAATGTCTTTGAATCAGAAATATCAGGAATTAAAAGAATTAACAATCCTTGAAGGTATGTTAGTTTATGAATTATAATAGAAAGTATGTTCCCAACACATATGGGAGAAAAGAACAAGTAGGATATTTACAAAAACTGGGTTCTCTAAATAAATGTCACATTGACAAATTATTTAATTCTTATAAATACAAATAGTTGATGAGATTATCAGAGATGATGAGAACAAAACAGCAATAAAGTTTACCCCAAAAACTAGAGAATAAGCCTTGCTGTCAGGCCTAGTTCAAACAGAGTTCACATTAACAGCAGGCTTCTTCACGGTCCTTTTCAATAGATTCACTCCTCTCTGGCTCAGTCAGCCTGAGGGTAATGGATGAGGTGCGTGGCACCAACAAAAGCTTCATCTGCATCCATAGGGTAACACATTACAAAGGAAAGCCAGGCCTTTTGGAACACAACAACTCAATACATGTATTTAGAAGACATATCCATGTTACCAATATAGAAACAATGAATTCCTGTTCTTCTACTGCTTTATAAATCTTGCAATAAAAAAAAAAAATTTCTTATCTGGATAAGCATTTGGTCATATTGTATTTTAGGGCAGGTCCTCTGAGATAAAATAATCTTAGGATGAAAACTATTTATTAATGAATGCCTAGACTAAAGGGTATTTCTGGGGTGTAACATTCTGAGAGCCAAGTATATTCTCATTTTTAATAACCAGTCTGGAGTTCTTGGAAGAGATTTCATTTTATTTCTTTTCTTAAAAATACTTTCAGGGATATAGATTCTGAAACAGGGAAGCAGTGTAGGTAGTAAATTGAGTAGTTATATACCTCTAAATATAAAGCGACATATAAAAGGCAACAAATTAGAAGTGAACAATGTTTTTTGTTACTTGCCTGACTTAAAGTAGAGCCAATGTTACATCCCTATTATATCCTTATTATCAGGCAAAAGCACAGTAAGAAAGTTATCCTCTGGAACCAAAAAAAGGTTATAAAAGAAAACTAAGGGTACCTTTTCTCACTTTAGGCAGAATAATCATTTTTAGAACTTTAATTTCTAAAGAAAACAAGAAGATGTTGCCAAGCAAGTATGTAGATTTAGAGAATATTAGAAAAGAAAAGACCTTGGATATCATCTATTCCAATCATCTCATATTACAGATGAGGTCACCAGGGCTCAAAAAAGAGATGTCAAATTTCCCAAAGACACTGTTACTGTGTGACAAAGTCACAGAAAGATTAAACTAAAAATTTCCGCCCAGCCGGGCGTGGCTCAGCGGTTGAGCGTCGACCTAGGATCCAGGCGATCAGGGTTCGATTCCTGGTCAGGGTACATGCCCGGGTTGTGGGCTGCAGCCGATCAATGACTCTCTCATCACTGATGTTTCTATCTCTCTCTCTCCCTCTCCCTTCCTCTCTCTGAAATCAGTAAAGATATATTAAACTAAAAATTTCCTAACACTTAGCCAAGTGGTCCTCTGACTATTTCATGATACTCTCTGCTTTAAAAATCTTTCACAACAGCCCTGGTCGGGGCTGGTTCAGTTGGCTGGAGCCCATCCCATACACCAAAAGACTGCGGATTCGATTCCTGGTCAGGGCACATACCTAGGTTTTGTGTTAGATCCTTGGTTGCAGCATGTACAAGAGGCAACCAATTGATGTTTCTCTCTCATATAGATGTTTCTCTCTCCTCCCCTACCCCCTTCCTCTCTCTAAAAACATGTTCTCAGGTGAAGATTAAAAGAAGTCTATAACCATAGTTATAATAATCCATATCAATTCTATTTAACATTTACTTACCAGCTTTGTGGCATTATATTTTATATTAAAAATTATCTGAATCATATTTATTTAAAACTGTACTTTACTAATACATGACACACAGAAAGGCAATACTGATTATGAAAAATAGCAGAAAGGCTAAAACTTTAATAAAAAGTATCTTAAAATCTGTTAAAACAAAAAGAATTAAAAACCAAAAACATTCAGAGATGACATTAAGATCTATGACAAATTAATTATTTCACAATCTCTCTTCTTCCATCTTTACAATGGGAGAATATAATGTAGAAAAGTTTGTTTAATAATAGATGGATTCATTAATATTAAAATTTTTTTTGTGAAGAGGAAACAGTCCCATGTAAAAAAGACAGGCAAAATATGAGACTTTGTATTTTCTTAATATTTAAAACAATTCCTTAACTTTCCAGTAACCCTCTCTGACCATAGAGCTGAAATGCATAGACATGCCCACCACAATATTGTCAAGTTTGCAATTTTACTTTATAAAACCATGGGGAAATCCTTCAAAAGGTAAACTAAAATTATAGGCATTTAAAAAAACTAGGTAAAAGCTGGACTAGCACTGCAGTTTTATCAATTATAATGGCAGAGAAGAAAAAAAACTTACCAGATGGAGACATATATTCTGCATTTGCCTTACAAACTACTTTGATAGGCAGATTACACATTTGCAAAAAGGCCTGCAAATCAAGAGAATAGTAAGCCTAGTGAAATTATGTGCATATTTGAACACAACTTTTTAAAAACTTGTTTTCTAAACGTAATCACTTATACATTAATACTTTATTAGAAAAGAATAAATCTACTGAAAGTGAAAGATGTGTTCCAAATAAAAATAAAATGTTATTTCACTGCTCAAAAATCAATATGATGTAGATACCAGTAAATGTCTGAAGCTTAGAGCATTTATACATTTAAGAAAGGAAATGTAAATTATCCATATTTATCCTACTGTATTAGTTTGCGTAAGTCAACAATATTGTATATTGCTTTAACTTCTTTAACAGATGACAAAAGCCCAAATTTTATAAGGTATTACTTGATTCCATTATTCTTTCTTTTCTTAGGAAAAAACTCTCAAAATGTTATTTCTGCTACTTCAAAGTTCTCTCCTATAATACTAAATATCCTAACATGTAGTTTTTATGTTCACTAATCACTTATTAAATATATAGTTTATTTTCACTTTGTTTAGAGTAACAAAAATTTTATGAGCAACTTAAATATATTACAATAGGAAATGGGTAAATCATTTATGGTAAATCCAAACCATGGAATATTATGCAATTTTTAAAATCACATTTTTAAATAATAAATTTTTTATGACAAGAAAAATGTCCACACTACAATACTAAGTGAAAAAATACAAAAGTGTATTAAATATATACATTAATTCCTTTTTAAATGTTTTTAAGACATCAGTAAACTCTTTGCCAAACCTCTATGTTTCCTGACTGATTCTCTCCACTGTTTTTGTAACCCTCAAAGCTTACTCCCCTCCTTCTCTCTTCTATGGCATCTAGGTTTCTTTTTCTCCACTCACTAAATTTACCTACTTTCTTTCTATAAAATTATTCAATTGGGGCAGTCATAGGTTATAATGGTTTTAATTACCACATACAAATTAGAAAACAAACTTTTTTTCAAAACTGAGGGAACTACTATAAATAGCAGTCAATGTCAGTTGAGATAAATTAATAAATAACAAGGCTATTACTTATCATATATTAAGATTAATAACAGACCAATAAAGATTTATCATAGGGGTTGTCTATTACAATTCCTTCCTCAGTCTCAAGACTCTTGCAAAAGTAGTAAGAGTGTTCAACAGTGATTATCATCTTGCATGAAGTGCTCTATTTACCTAAAAGTATGTCAATCCTCTTCTTCAAATCTGTTTTCCCAAAATTCCAGTCTTCTAGGAATGCTCCTCTCTAAAAATAAACCTTAAGTGTATGTTCCCTCTCTACTTACACCCTGATTCCTGCATTGTTCTATAACTTACGACTACATGTCTGATGGCACCAAGTAAATGTAATATCTTAGAGAGCTAAGGAATAGATTTGAATTTTTTGTAATTCTGTCCCCCTACCCTCCAATCTCCCTCCTTTTCCTACAGCTACCATAATGCATTACTTAATAAACATTCAATGCTTAGTGACTGTGCCAACCAAAGCTCCCAGAATTTATTGTGGGAGAGGCCCTTAATTTTCCTCCATATATGTTCCCCACTTTCTCTACAGTGAACCCACTGTATTATATCTTCACACGTGGCTGCCTAAAATAAGAACTTTATTTCCCAGGATCCCTCATAACTGGGTGTGGCCAATGTCTAAATTCTGGTCAATGGGACTTAAAGTTCTGAGCAACTGCTGGCAAGTTTCTTAAACAGGAGCCCTTTTTTCTTTCCTGTTGACTAGAACGTGAAAGGGATGACTATAGCCACAGCAGCCAAACTAAATCATGAAATTCAAGTTCAGTGTTGGACATGGTAGAGCAACAACAGTAAAGAAGCCTAGGTCTTTGATAACCATGTACTCACCAAACCTGAATTACCTGTTTATAAGGGAAAAAAATTCCATTTGGGTTTTTTGTCACTCGCAGACCAACTTAATCCTATCTAATTCACCAACAATTACTGTTCCTAAGTTTAAGCACCACCTCACCCAACCAAAAGCTGATTCCTCTGTGCCAGTGTAAGTGTACATTAACATTCTAAATACTATAAACTGTACTCCTAATTTATAATAATAGTGAGCTCCTTGATTGACCTGTAAGTATAGACTAGGGAAGTGGTTCTCCAACTTTAGTTCGGCATGCATCAAAATCATGTGGAAGGCATATTAAAATACAGTATGCCAGGAAGAGAAGAATTAGAGAAAATAAATTTAAACAGCTCTTTCAAGAAGACTAGGTGAGAAGGAAAGAAGGAAGGATTAGAAAGGTGAAATCCCTTCTGTTATATGTGTAACTGTACTGATTACAGAGAAAGGTTGAGCTCGTCAAAACAAATAGAAAAAAACAAACAGTAAAAATAGGCAGAAATTACAAGAAACAAGTAGCAAAATTGATATGCAAGATCCATGAGAAGGTAAAAAGGAATGGATAAAAGCACAGATGGAAAGTTCTGTGTTTTCAGGAAACAGGACACTTTGCACTGTAATGTAAGGGGTGGTTGGAATCAGTGCTGATGACTGTAGAAGAGTAAGAAAATGGGGGTGTGCTTACGTTCTGTGAGGAACGAGAGGAGAAACCATCTGCGAAGAATGAGGGACTAAAGAGACTGAGGCCCTCAGAAGAACAAAAAGAATTTCAAAGAATTGCTTAATATACCTTCTCAAAGGTATGAATAATATTCAGTTGTTAGTTAACAATCATAATACTATAAAAAACAGTAAATATGGTATACTGTATTTTGCTAAACTACATGCATAATGGCAACTGTACTAATCAATTTTCCAAAAAGCTGTATTTCTCTAAAATAGATTTAAGCAAAATTATAATGTTCTGTAATCTAAGCCATACTTCCCGTCCTGTGAATTTTTTACTCCTTTACTATAAACAACTGACTTAATTTTGTCCAATTTAACAACACTAAACTTACCACAGACCTCAACTGATGGCATAACTCTGGTTAGTCAAAGATTAATTTTACAGCACTAATTATAATTACTCTTCATCCCTGATTCCAAAAGAAATTGTCTGAATTAATCTGTACTTCACAAAGAAGTCTGATGTCATAAACACAGTATTTTCACCCAAACTTTAAAAATACAAAACAAAACATTACTATGGCTGTCTTCAAGAATATAAAAATTCTGAAACCAAACCAGGCTTTGATTCAAACAGTATTTCCCTTTTCTCTTGTAGGATGGAAGAAAATCCCTGAAAGGTTCCAAAATAGTATTTTCACCTTTCATTTTCATTTTCAATCTCTTACTAGAACCCCAAATACTCCAAATAAAACAGGCATGATACAACAACCTAAAACACATTTTACTTTCAATTCTGAAATCACAATCTGCATGTTTTTATTCTTATGTAAATCTAAAGGAAAATGTAGTTCTAATTATAGTAAGAAAACTCAGGATAACTCACCTAAGTCCTATTCCTCAGTTGGATATTGTATTCCAAACTAAATCAAGTGATTGACAATATAAAATATTTGAATCAAAAACTTAGCACATTTTATCAGAATAATGATCTATAAACTTTACTGTTCAATATGGTAGCCACTAGTCGTCTGTGGCTATTTAACTTAAATTTAAATGAATTCAAGTTGAATAAAATTTTAAATTCAGTTCCCCAGTCACACTAGCCACATTTCAAGTGCTCAAAAGTCACAGGTAGTTAGTGGATACCGTATTTATTGGACAGCACACAAAAAACAGAGCATTTACATCATCTCAGAAAGTTCTATTGCACAGAGTGTGTCTATAACAATGGAAATCAGTGCATAAAACATCTTAGCAAGAGAGGAAATGAACAGCAGACAACTCTGCTCTCTTTTCAAAGGCCTGGAGTTGGTAAGGTACACCTGTATTTTTTGAAACCAGACAAGCAGTTTCCACTGAAACATTGAGAAGCCCAATCCTGAGGGCCACCCCATCTCTTCTGTGGACACAGATGGCAGAAATATGTACAGATCAATATCATCTTTGTCAACACTTTCCTGCAGGTCTGTAACATCAAGGTGTTAAATTGGTAGGGCTAGAGGTATTATACAGAATAAAAATACAATCAAGGATAGTTTTTATTTTTGGTCATTTCTATCTCCTGCATCTACAGCCCACCAAGTGAAAAGTCAATTTAACTAAATAGTTAAAATAAGAAGCTTTAAGAAGCCAAGAAAGCCATCCAATTAGAGCAGTATTATCTTCTGAAAATTTACTGAGATGTGAAAGAGTCACTGACAGCAGGAGTCCTTTAAAATCTCAACAACTATGGCTCCATCTTTAGGAGATTAAAAATAAGTATGCAGGTCTCTTATAATTAATATAAGTAGGAAAGTAGAATAACATCAATGAGCAAGTCAAACAAGAACAAAACCTCAAGTATTATACATATCTAGTTTCTTCAAGTTTTTATTCACAGAGAAATATACTAATAATATTCCAGAAAGAAATTTGGAGAGGAAATCAGTGAAATTGAATTTAAAGCCAAAAAGTCACTCATTTCTTTTACAGAAAACAATAAATATGATAGGTCCTGACAGAAGCAAGGAAATAGAATCTACAACATTAAAACCTTAAAATGCCAAATATTCTTTAATTGTATTATGTCTTTTCAAAAAGGTAACTAAAAACACTCAGTTCAGAAAGTGGTGAAGAGGACGTAATCCCAGTTGAAAGGAAACAGCCAGCCAACAGCAGGCCTGCCCCGGTCACATTTGCACAGGGAAGATGCTGCCTCATTGAGATGCTATCCTTACCAGCATTTAGAGCACCTGACTTCCCGTTGCTGACTCACAGCCATACCACTCTCAAGACTGGGTAAACCATTAGCACATCCCACTCCTTAATTGTCACGTGTTAAGTGCCTTAGTAGAACTTAATGGATTTTAATAGAATATAGATTTAAGAAGCAAGTTGTTTAAATGGAAGACCAGAGTATTTTTTGAAAAATGGGAATCCTCTGCATCAGTCTTAAGAGTCAGTATTGAACAAAAAAGAGTTAATAGAGCAGAGCCTCCCAGTGAGATGTCTCTCAGTGGAATCTTGGCGACTGACTGTGTTAGCTTGAGAGAGTTCCTTTACCTCATAAGCTTTCTGATTTCTAAAATGAAAACAATTTATTAAGCAGATTAATTGAGGTGCTATATGTAAAATACCATTTATAATCAAAACAGCAAATTGTACACCAAGATAAAATCTCTAAATAGATATTAAAAGGAAAAAATAAGGGAACATAATAACCAAAAGCACTTTTAAAAGAATAATGCAATGAGCAATATATGATTTCTGCTTTCAGTATGTCTCTCATATAAAATCTTTTCTAACAAGGCAAAAACAAGTGAATAAAGATACTGACATAAACTTTTACTTTACAAATAATTTTTCAAAGTAATACACACCGGTGAAACTGATAAATGAACTGATAAAAGGCCTCCACCTCCAGAACACAAGCTCCATGGGTACACACTGACCTTGTCTACACCTTTTCACTACTTTATCTTTGGCATACAATAGGTCCTCAAAAAACATTTGCTTAATGAATAAGATATTGATATTCATAATAATAAATGCAAACATAACTTCATAGAAAACTAGTAATCTACAACAAAGCTCACTGTTTTAAAAAATTAGATGTAACTCCTGTTAAATTCAGAGGTATTTTTAAAATTCAATAAAATTACAAATATCAATAAGCAGATAGTGTTTTAGAAAATGGTAACAGGAATTCAACTTAAAAAAAAAAAGCTGCACAGAAATCATCAGAAACCACAATTCAGTAAGCATAAACAAGTTTTAAAGAGAGCAAATTTGTTACCAAAAACATGAAATGCTATTGAGACCACATATGAAGACAGGTCACATCAGAGGACCTTCCTTAATACAACTCTCACCTGAAAACTACTCCTGGAATATTTGACTCAGTTTTAGATACATCAACATCTGACAGCTGTAGGAAAAAAATCAAATTCAGAAAGAAAGCAACAAAAATGATAACCAGAATAGGAAAAGATACACGCTTTTCCTGCTAGAATAAATATAAATAAAAAGTTGTCTGGTGGAAATTAAGCAAAAGACTTATAACACAAAGGAAAAGAAAGAATAATTCTTGTAACCCAAGAACCTAATGCAATACCAGTTGCATGGCTGGCACTCAATGAACAATCCAGGAGTAAAGAAAAGAAACTACTTTTTTTTTCTCTCAGGTCCTGTAATGAATGTTTTAAAGTTTTGTTATTTACAGATAAAGTAAATATTTCCAACTGAGAAAAATAATAATAATAACAAAATTTTTTTAATTCTTAGGATAAGCTAAATAGTAAATGGTAAGTATATAAAATGTATTCCTTTTATTTTAATAAAATAATGGTAACTCAATATCGAATCATCTATACCAATGAGCAGTAACAACTATCTTCTTTCCTCTTCTTTATTCCAAAAATAGAATGTACATTGGTCTTCCAAGTAAAATACATAATTAACAATACTCCTTAATTGCACTTAAGCAAGAAATTCAACATTGCTTCCCAATAAAGATACAAAAATAATTCAAAATTTTAAAGAATTGTCTTTAATAAGTTTTTAAAAGATTAGGTGCTTAATACTGATTAATTTGGGGGAATTTAAGGAATTATAAACATAGCTTCTAAAATGTATGTAGATCACATTAACAAAGTTATCCAAATTCTAGATAGCAAACAATCAATCCATTTCAGTCCAACCAGGTAAATCTATCCTTAGACAGCAAACCTCAGGTTTTCTTCTTTAGGACAAAGCTTCTATATTCATTTCATAATTAAATCTGAAATATTTTATGTAAAGATTTACCAAGGATCATTCTAAAGCATGCAATGCCATTTTCAGGACACAAAATGAAAATGTTTATGAATTTTAATTCATATTTTATTTTACTAGGACACAAAGGAAAACTGTGATGACAACTGAAGAATTATTTCCCACCTTACTGAAGAAGCATGTTTTAAAATTAAAAACCATGAACAAATCTATCTACAAAATAATTCATTTTTATATCAAACAGCTGCAGACCCTGTAATTGAAATAATGTATCTAAGGTTACAAATGAAAAGTGTTAGGTATCATTCTTGAAGTGACAGATTAAGTACCTAATTCAGTTAAAGTAATAGCCATATTTGTAGTTTAACATAAATTAAGACCTTAATTATATTTGTGACTATTTTAAACAAAATAACAAACTCCTTTGTACCTGGGAATGTAATTTATAGCAAAGCCAGGTTCATTTTCCAAACCAATCTATTTCACACTGCAGAAGTACTTTGGTATAATGGTATAATGTAATTCTTGTTGTAGAATGTTGAAAGAGTAGATTCACTAAAAGCGCAGAAGAGGTTTGAAGATAAATGAAGATGCTATTCATTCAAGGGTAATTTCATCTTAGAACTATATGAAAGATGTTTCGCTCACACAGGGTAGTGTATGGCCTCAAATTTAAGTGTATTTTCAGCTCAAATATAATGCTGCTAGATCGATTATGTTGATACTGTATATCTAATAATGAAGAATTCTAGTCTTTTTCTCTTTAAAAAATAGACTGTCATTTTTTTCATCTTACTGCCATGTCTTTATTGCTCTGTTTAACAGCAACACGTTTTAAAATCCTGCTTGCTATTTACTTTTTAAACAGAAAAGTATACAATTGATATTCTAACTTGCAATGTCTCAGAACTATAGGAGTATGAATTTTTGCTAAGTTAAATAAATGTTTATATTAACAAACCATTACCCTACATAACCATTTTGCATTATTTCACTAATTACTAAAAATGACAACTCTAATAGCCACCTAATTCTACTTTCAATATTCTTTATTTTCACAAATCTGGTAAGACTGATTTAAATATTTCATATAACCATACCATTTACATGTTGACAGATCAATATTAATAATGAATCATTTTTAATCTGCTAAATTCTGTTTGCAATTTAAGTTTTATACATTTAAATCATTCCAGGTTATTGTAAGCATGCATCACAAAAGTGCTTTTATACTTCTGGTATATAAAATGTGATGGGGATAAAATATTCAGTCTGAAAAATTTCCACTCAGTGATATCAGGGAAACATCTGCAGCCTCCATTTTGCTCATTTTAAAATACTTAAAAGGATTTCACAAGTTCCCTTATGTAATCAGTGTTCACTAAATTCTCTCTACCCCTTAGCTTTCTTTCCTTCTCTTAATCATGAAAGTGAATGAGCAAAGTGGGAGGGATGAAGAAGCATTAAAAAACTAAAATTAGGCCCTGGCAGGGTAGCTCAGCTAGTTAGTGTGTCGTTCCCATACGCAAAGGTTGAGGGTTCTATCTCCAGTCAGGGCACATACAAGAAGCAACCAGTGAATGCAGAAATAAGTGGAACAACAAGTCAATGTTTCTGTTTTTCTCTCTCTATTTCTCCCTCTCCCTTTCTCTCTCCCTTCCTTTCTCTCTAAAATCAATACATAAAAAATAAACTAAAATGTTCACTTTATGAAATTTTAAGAAAGATATCAATTTTTAAATGTTTTCCATAAAATGGTATTCTATTAATTATTAAAATATATCTACTGGTATCATCCTACTTGTATTTACATTGGGTTTAAATTAAACTGAGACAAAAACTTGCATACAACCATAAACAACTTATTTAAAGCAAAAATGTATCCAATTAAACTGAAAATTCAAAATCATTTCCTCCAAAATTCTGCAGGTAGGCTGTCTACTATGGCCATCTGCTATATGGCATTTTCATAATCACAATGCAACAACTGACATGCAGTCCCAAAGGAGAGAGAACTACTCCTCCCTCTGCTCTTCCCCAATCACTACATTAGGATATTACTATTTAACCACTAATTAATATGTCTACCTAAAAAGCATCATTTGCTAAAGGGAAAAAGCAAGGGTCAGCTAACTATCAGCAGATCTGACATGTTAGTGTTCATGGCCTAGCATTAATAGGGCCTATAAAAATGCTGGCTTTTTTAATGATACAACCTATTCAACAGAAAAAATACTATTTTTTTCTGTTGTCTTCCCTTTCATTTTTAGAGATAAAGTACCTATTCACAAAGGAAAGGGAAAAAATGAGAATATTAAATGGAATAGGAATATTTCCCTTAATCTGATCTTAAGTGTTGTTCTTGAAGTAAAAACTGCATAAGGAAAAACTAACATACTCTTTCATGCAACATTCTCATAAGAATCCTCAGCTTGACACACTCTCTAAAAATAAATTCAGACTTTTACAATGTTTAGATTAACCCATACCAAAAAAAAACCCCAAAAAACAGGTCTTTTTAAATTAACTTCATATATACTAAACAAATACATCTCTAAAACTGACTAGAAAGTAACATTTTATTATATAAAGAAATTTAAAAATATGTATGTAAACTTTTTAAGTTGAAATGGGCACTAATTCAGCATTTAGTATAATACGTTTCTATTGTTTTTACTTTTTTCAAGAAAATTTCCCATTTATTACCAAACTTGAACTTTACAATAACTCATAATATAGGTAAGACTGCCTTTATCACATATCAAAGATCCAAAACTTAGACATTTATCTTTCACATCTTAATGTAATCTACAAGTATAACATATAATTTGCTAGGAAATGTCAGAAACAATTTTTGAATTAAATGCCTACTTTTTTTTAATATTTTAATATGTTTTTATTGATTTCAGAGAGAGGAAGGGAGAGGGAGAGAAAAATAGAAATGTCAATGATGAGACAGTCATTGATCAGCTGCCTCCTGCATGACCCCTACTGGGGAAGGAGCCCAAAACCAGGGCATGTGCCCTGACCAGCAATCAAACAGTGACCTCCTGGTTCATAGGTCGACACTCAACCGCTGAGCCATGCCGGCTGGGCCCCACTTATTTTGGGGTAAAAATTAAAGATCGGTATCACTGGACTGAACTGATTTGTAGCAGTGTTATGAGTGTGAATTCTTGACTCAGACTCTCTGGGTCTGTATTCCAGCTCTGTCCAGTACTAATTATATGACTTTGAGCCAGTTGCCTAACTTCTCTGCCTCAGCTTCCTAATCTGTAAAATGAGAATAATAATATTACCTACCTCATAGGGTTGCTGTGTGTGAGAATTATCTATATAACAAGTACACATAACAAGACCTGGCATACAGAATAAGTGCTGTGTAAATTCTAGCTACATTATTATTATTGTTCTTACTAACATCTACAGAATGGGAATTATAATAGCACATACCTCATACAGTTGTTATAAGGATTAAATGAGTTAATAAGAACTAAGTGCTCAGCACAGTGATGAGCACATGGTAGGTACTCAAGCAATACTGCTGTCTACCTCCACAATTTCTGGGCTCTGTGACCTCGAGTAGAGCTTTCCTAAGCTTCAGTTTCCACATCTTTAAAATGAGGGTACGTTACAACAGCGTTATGGTAAGGACTGACTGAGATACTTTACATAAAAGCTCTCAGTAAAGTGTCTTTCACAGTAGAAGCATTCAATAAATATTCAATTTTAAAACAAATCTTATTCAGAATTATTAAAATAGTATTTTATTTGATTGAAAGCATTCAATATTAACATTTTTGGGGTATGGAATGAAAGTATGATTACAAGAATTAATGTTCACACAAATTCAAATATGTCTTAACAGTTATTTTAACTACTTCAGTATTTTTAAGGCATTATAAAGCCTGCAAGCTTCCAATCCTCCTGCTGACATTGATTATGTGTACTTCTCTCAAAGAATCAGGAGAGAAGAAAATAATAACCAACGTGCAGTGCATATTTACAATATGCCAGGTACTTTTTCTAAGTACTTTATATACATTAACACATTCAGTCCTCACAACAGCCAAGAGGATAGCTTCTATTATATCTCCTCATCACTTATCATATCTTATAGATTAGGAAACTTGAAACAAAGAGTACCGTTTAAGG